GTGTCAAGGACGCTATACACACGACGGTATTACACACGGTCGGCCTGGCCTGCTCCTTGCTCTGCTTCGATTTCGTTTACTACCCCGATTCCCCGCGGGAGAAACCAACGTCGTTCCTCGTTTCCTCCCCTCGGCACCTCTCGGCTCTTCCTTTTTCTTGAGCCTTACCCTCATCTCCCACTCTATACGACGAAGCTGTTCGGTCGTTACGCCGCTCCGTCTTTACAAATTTTATATCATTTTTATGAGGCATAAAGTCGTCGAGAAGCCGACCAACGGAAGAGGAAAGAGGGTCTAGAGAGAGAATCGAGCATAGCGTCGAAGGGGTGGGAGTACGGCGTTGGTGTTGAAGCTGGTGGTGCTAGTCCCGTCTCTTTCTAAGCTCCCTTCTGGCCACCAACCCCCTGGCCGACCGACAGTCACGTGGCTGGGCGGAGCGGTTTTCAACCCCCTCACGCTCGGCCGGCACGTTTGGGGTAAGAAAAGGAGGGATGCCAACAGTCTGGGAAGGGATGGTACAGGCGAGGGGAGGTCTAACCAGCCGGCTGCGACCAGCTCTATCAAGAAACGCTTCCTTTCGTGTCTTGGCTTATTAAAAATTTCCTAATCGTTCGCGGGGCACTTGCCTCTCTCGTTCCACTGAAAATTCCAACCCTCTTCGCGCCGCCTCTGCTTCTTTCAGATTGCTCGGTAAGTGTCGCATTATTCTCGGTATTGTTACTGTAACTGCTTGCAGCCAGAAACACCTATAGTCTCGTAGCTCCAAAATACGTGGACGAGTGTCTTTTTTTTTTTTTTTTTTTTTTTTTTTTAATTAGAGGTATGAATCAAAAGTCATCAAACTGACAATTCTTTTCAGAAGATTTCAAGCCATGAGTTTTACTTGTTTAAGTTTGTTCTCTCTGACAGAGAGCGTTTTACCCACGTCTCGGATTAGAAAATTAAAAATCCTTCTTAAATGAAAAAGATGGATACGACGAGACGTTGAACACTGTACGTACCATGTTAATCAATTAGAGGGGAAATGAGAACGCGTGTAGCTGAAATTGGTCGATTCGGTGCTATCCCTGCCGAGGCCGATTATACGGCAAGGATTATTCTCAGTTTAAGGTTAATCCTGTTTAAGATGAACGGAAAGTAGGCGAAAACTTGGCTTCTTACTCGGTCAGCCTTTCGGCGATAGTACGGCTTAGTGGCATTAGAGCGAACGATCTCGTTAACGAGCTTTCAATGGAGCCGATTTTAACCGTAAATCTATCCACGATTCTTTCAAAAATATCCACGAATTTGGCACGTATCGCGTTCAGCTGCGTGTAATCGTATCTCGTCTTGTGTTTCTTTTCCTGTATCTCCTTTATTTTTGAAAATTTCGTCGCGAGATTAATGCCACACCGTGATCGTTACCTCGCGATGACTAAACGAAAATCAAAATGGTCGTAAATCATACGCGATATCGTTTTATGCAGAATCGTGTTGCAATCGTGAGCGAAATTTGATAAATCCAGAGACAAAGGGATTTATGCAGTGAAAGGTAAATACATCCAGCAATAATAAGTTTCACACGGTAGGGAAGCAGAGGCGAGAAATTTAGAAAAGTATTTCAAGAACGCCAAAGAGATTGGTAAAATTTCGTCGCCAATAATCGAAAATTTCCAAAAATGTCAACACGAGAAATCCGTCGCCGGCGTTGTTTAAAACTTTTTCGTTCAGAACGTTTCGAATTTAATGAACAGAGTTACGAAGGTTACAGAGGTTCTATTTTATGGGGATAATTCTCCAGTAGCGAATACAGTTCTACCTTTATTGAAGGTATTTTTTACCTGGTATCATCCATCTTTTTACCTCGGAATTTTACATGCACGTGTAAACGGCATCACCCTTTTGCGTGTTTTGATAAATGAACCACCAGCTCCCTCATCCCCTCAGCCGACCTCTTTCAGCCCTCTTGATTCCACTCCATCAATTTTCAATCACAAAGAAGTCTCTGCTCCGCCACCGCGTATATCGCAGTTCCTTTAAACGGCTCCACGTATAAGTATACATTCACATTTACTTTTTCTTATTACGTTAACCGTCTATAGTTACTGTCTGTTCATTCCTCTCATTGTTATTATAATATCTGTCTGCTGTTGAGCATCCTATACCATCGATCTAGACTGAGAATTATTTACAAACGTAAAGTCCAAATTCCAATAACATTAAATGAGCGAAATTTTGTGCAACAAGACGAATTTAATAGAAAAATCCGTTTTAACAAACTTCGCGTGAAAAACAAAGAAGCAACATTCCTTTTTTATTTTTTCGTCGATTTCTCCGATGAGAGACTGGCCGTTTTAAAATTTAGCAGTCATCGATATGATAGCGAAATTTATCAAGCCGCGCGATCTGTCGCGTCGAATGTTCTAAAATGTAGGAAAAAATTGTCACGGAAAAACACAGTGCTGAAAAATTACATAAAAAAACGAGAGAGGAGAGAAGGGCATAGAAAAATACAAAACATCGCGAATCTTTTCCAACTGTTGATAAAAAAATTATTACCGTTATTGCATTGGTAGATTAATGGGCACTGGTCGAGATTAAGAGGATAAAGAGAGGCGTGCAAGATAAGCAAGTTTTTTATTATTGGCAAATGTTCGAGTCCCGTACGTGACTAATCCGAGTGAAAACGAACGGGACACGTTGGTTACGTTTAAACGTCACTGCAGATAATAAACGTACGCAAATGACGAGTATTAGTAATTTCAACGATCACGTTTCACCGTACCACGGTTTACCGTGGCGGGAAAAATAAAACACCGCGATGAGGAAAGAATTGCTGGCTCATCGATCTTGAAAATGTAACGGATCGGTAGGTATGCTGTCGTGAATCAAAAAGATCTCCACTGTCAATGTTTACAATTACCGTTATTCAGTATTAGATATCCGAATGAAACAAAAGAATCTGTGTAATATCTTTGGTAAATGAAAGTTTCTGTGTAAATAAAATACAAAGATCGTTCGAGCAATTCTTTTTTATCACTAATTCAAACAAAATGAAATACCGAAAAAGGCAAAAGTAGATCGACTACTTAACAAACTAATTTCTCTAGTTTCCTATAATTAAACTTCCTGTTCTCCTATCTTTCTGTGAGACTGAATTTGCTTAAAAAAATACTACGAAATAAAACTGTAATACGAATGTACTTAGAAAAAAAAAAAAAAAAAATCCAGCTGTTCGCAGAGGGTTAAATTCAACGACGGAAAACTACAGTAGAATAAAGAACCGCGAATGGGAGGCGCGTTGTGGCCTGTATGATACACTAAATCAATGTAATACTTGTATATATAGTTCTTTTCGCGTTGTAGCGACTTTAAAGGCGTTATGTTAGTACGACGTTAAAAAACGGTAACAATAAGATATGCGAAAAAGTTGGAAACTTCAAATCGTAACTATGGGATATCCACGTACGTGCACGTGTGTGAATGAGTTTCTCTCCTATCACCGCGAAGACCATAAAACATCAGATTACATGGTAAACGTTCAATATTGAATTTTCACGTTGATAAACGTTCAATCGTGTAATCGTATCGACTGTGACTTGAACGAGTAGTTCGTAACTGTATTTTGTCAAAATTAACGCAATTTCTCACGTAGGATTAAGAGCTTCCATCGACAAATAATTCCGAATTGTTCAAAAATCGTGACCGAGTTACGGGCGAATGAATCAATTAATTGACGTTCAGATTGCTAGTAAAATCTACTATCGCTAATAATCGTTGTGAATTTAGTTTGCAAGAGTAGAAATCGTACGTAGTTAGACAGAATAGCTAACGACGGTAAAGTGGAATATCTTCGAAGCTTCTCGAACCGTCGTTTCCAACGCGTCTCACCCCGAAACAACAAGGGACACCGCGTAAAGACAGACGTCGCCGATTTGAAACACAAAAATCTGCCGTTCGATATGGGAAGCGGGCCACGAAATCAGAGCACGAAGTATCCTTGAAATTACGATCTATCCAGTTGGAGACGCGTTGCTGCCCCCGATTCGACCCTGACAAACCGAGGAGAAGCTGCAGACCTCCACGAAATTACTTCGTCGTAGGTGGTTGGTATATATATGTACGCACGCTCGCGCACAAACGTCTCTCAGTTTACGTGACAACGTGTCCGTACTACTACACGCGCCTGCCTACACAATAGCGTGCACGTTGGTGAACGTTTCGTTTCAAGTTTGTTGGGGACACGTGTTTGTATGAGAGAATAAAATTAGCACGTGTGTGCGAGTACGTGCAGCGGCCTGTGCGTGTGACGGAGTATGCGCTGCGACTGTGTGCAGCGCGGAGAATTGAGAAGAGAGCTTACCCCCACCACGCGCGTTGGTCCCGTGACTACGCTGGCCAATCGGAGGGCGAGTTCGGGGCGGTGCCTGGCGCGATATTCAACATGGCAGCTCTCTGTCTTTCTCGGTGCCGGTGAACACAGTGCGAAGAAGAAACGCTTCGTACGTCTCTCGTCGATATTATCGTTTCTCCTTTCCGTTGTTGTTGTTGACCTTGTCGCTGTTCTCGTTGTTGTTACCCGAGTTTCTGCCCATTTTCGGTGACTCGTCGATCGGCGAAAAAGGATCGAGTGAAACGGTCTCCGATTGTTTCAGTAGAGACGACGACACTTGTTTCTCGGAATAGCGACCGCGAGTGAGAGTAATCAATTGGAGAAATTTGTTAATTCTTTTTCTCTGCTTTTTTTTTTTTGATTTTAAGGGAATGATTCTTTCAGTGGACCGGAAGTGTGGATTTTTATAAACATTTTTCTTCAGGATTTCTTCGTTTTTTTTAATCTACCATATTTGTTTTATCGTAAATTTTGTATATTTAGTTATCTTGTATGAATTAAATGGAATTTAGGGAATCTACTTCCTTAATTGCAATCAGTGTATAAATGTTTAGATTTGAAACGAATAATAAAATTTAAAAAGTAATTGTTATTTAATTATTTTTTAAAACGTTCAACGAAGACGTTTCATACAGTCTCTAATTTTTAGCATGAAATTTTGCTAAACTAAGATTTGTCTAAAAAAAAAATGTATTAATAATAAAAATAAAATATCGCACTAAATTTAAACGCAATTGCCTATTAAGAAAATTTTTGGAATTACAGATGCAGAAACAAAATTGCGGATGATATCACTCTCTATAATTTATCTATTATTCGTGCATCAAATCCCAGTGACCTACATTTCTATAAAAATTGTTCAGTAAGTTCTATAAAAAAAAAAAAAAAAAAGAAGAGAAGATCTTGTTATGCCTGGTTCTCCACTTGTACGATTACAAATAAGTATACCGCGGGTTACTAATATATCATTGCGGGATTTGAAGGAGCATTGCAGGCACAGTTTTGTAATGGTCCCCTAGTAATCTCTTATGTGGATAATAATGACCGGAAAAGCATTGTACGTCTGCCTATGGGCTGGAGAATTCATTTAACCTGAAGCTCAGCATAACTTACAATGGCTTAGGTGATGCCGCAAATTATTTGCCCTCTGTGGCTTGGATTAAGCATCCTGTACCTAAAATAATTATCCCCATCCTATTTTCACTGATCTTAATATTCCTATAAAAAGCATTAAAAGGTGTACCTCTACTTGGTACCATTAACCCTTGCTGCCAATTAAACACAGCCCCCTGATTATGCTTGATAATATCCTCATTTAAGCAGATGTACGACCTAAAATTGTAACGTCTGCTCGTTCGTGAGACCATCTATTTTTTAAAAAGATTGCAATTATTAGTCATCGAAGTGGTTACTGCACAACAAACAGAGTAATTTCTATTAAAAAATATCTAAATATCGAAACACTGTCGAATGTAAAGACTTGAACGATCGGAAATTAAATTAAAACACTCGAGCACGCAGAAAATTAATCGTAATTTTAGTAATTATTTCGTAAACGCACCACGTACGATCGATTGGCACATAGATGATTATAATAAACGTCTACAACAACGCAGGAAAATTGTGCAAACTAATTAAAAACTCCATTAACAAGTAAATTTCGTGAAGAATCTCTCTCGAAGAAAGTCCAAACTACAGCTAACGATAACTTCAACTCGATGGAATTCGTGTAAGAGAAACAGCAGGCATAAACCACGAAATCGCGGAGGTAAAGTTAAAAGGTACGCGATTCCCCGGCTGTTGTTTAACTGACGGCAATAAGGGAAAAAATAAAGGAGAGTAACGAGTCGAGCGTCACGACGATAATGTTCTCCGTGCTGAAGAATGCGAGGATGTACACACACGTATTATGCAGTTAGGTATACATGTGTACAGAAAGTACGTTCAAGGACCGACATAAAGATAAGTTCCTTCCACGAAGACAGTGAAGACAAAGATTGTAAGAAGGTGTGAAACGAGCCACGTGCTGGCCTGTCATATATCACGACCCCTTCTACCTTCGTTCTCTCTCTCTCTCTCTCTCTCTCTCTCTTCAGTGGAGAACCGAGCTCTTTTTCTGATGAGGGATGCCATGGGTTTGAGGGGGCTGAGAAGTGTAGTCTATGAATATTCTGGCTTGCCTCCGCAATGAAATGATGAACGACACCCTCCACCCCCGAGTTCGATGCATAGTCGCCTTTCGTCGTTGCGAAAAGACGAGCGTTCATGCTTGAATTCCTCCTGCGTGGCATGCGAACCGAACCATCGGTTCCTTAAATTCTTACACCCTCCCGCGCGCCACCCTACACCCGTCATTTATCAAAATCAAGTCGTACGCTCGGCGCCCATATAATTGACCGAAAATGTAACGAATCATTCGGGGGATGTTGCAGCGTACAGTGAAATCTGACGACCGGAAGATCGATCGGAGAAATAGAATTGGATTTTCCTCGATCGAGTATGAAATGAACGTTTATATAAATTATTAACTCTGATTGGCTTGATGATCTAATATTGGGAATATCGATGGTCGAAAAGAATTCGAAATATGAAAAATTTTATTTTATTTCGAAGGTGTATTTTGTCTGAAGTAGACGATTCATTGCTTGTCATTTTTTTTAGCAGATCAAAACCGGATTTACGTTGAAAATATATATAAACATCAATTAGTGGGATTTTTAATAATCTGATAATGTATGACGCGAGCATTAATTTTTAATAGTTTTAAATTTCCACTATTTAAGGCTATTTAATTCATTTCATTTATATTATCAAATCATCCTATTTAGGTAAAAGCTTGATGATTTCAATCATAGACTTTTCAAAACATTCGAAAATTTTCCAACGACGATGCACGAACAAATATCCGTCGTGTTTCACGAACGAACACATACAAATTTCTTTCGAGAAACGTAAAACGTGTCAACAATCTATCGTGTTTCGCTAACTTGATCGGCAATAAACCAATCCGCGGTCGTTCATTATCTCTCGCCAGGGAATTAACGCGTGCTTACAATTCGTCGACCATTTTGAATCGCAATATCACCATTTTACTTCACATCCTCCTTCGTTTCATTCTTTCTCCCCTTTATTTTTTATTTTCTTTTTTCCTCTCTTAATAAATACGAAATAAACGTCTTTCGATATTTCTGGTTTAGCAGTGAATTTCACGTCAGTCGGCTGAATGATATCAATTCATTCGGGTTCGGCTCGCGCGGCTCGTCTCGACGATGAGTGACGGGCCATAAAACCTTATCGTGTGTTGTTCAGACGCAAGCGAGCGGTTTCTCCGGTCGCTATCGCCTTCTTTTCGGTTTACGCAAATACGAGAAACGATTAAACATGGCCGATCTTGTCAGCTTCCAAACATTTTTTCCACGAAAAGTTCCCGGTTTGCCTCGGTTCTTCTCATCTTCATCCGACACCATTCATACTGGTCGAAGAAGTACGAAAGAAACTTAACAGTTCGACGTGTTACAAGAGAAAATTACAAATTGAAAAATATCTTATGTAACTTGTAAGTCGTTTCGATAGTTTGAGTCTCGCAATGTCACACGAAAATATAACTTTAACCCTCGAAGGTTGTCACGGATAAAATTTCACCCCGATTGAAAAATTCGTGTTCCTCCCCCCCTCCCCCCTCCCCCCACCGATCTTCGTATAAAAATTCTCAATCATTTTAGCTACTTTCAAAGTCCCGAGCCATTAGATCTAGACCTAGTTCTCTTTCTTCTTAAAGAAATCTTAATATATTTGCAGTGGCCACGCGTGTTCGACTCGACCGCCATTTTAATCGTGCAATCGAACGTTTTGCAATCTTATCGCTGATCGTTGTCATTTGGTTTGCAGTTGCGTGTGTGTAAAACGCGCGAGGGGATTGTAAGTTGGTGAACGGGCAAAGTTTATTGCGGCACGTTCCGTAAACACCGTGAACCTGTAAAAAAAAAAAATGTATTTGTAACGCGTCCACGCGTGCATTACCATAAACACGACTCGCTAAAGGGTATACACGTGCGTACTCGAGCGACATTTCGCGAGTGAAATTCTATCCGTAACTAGGTGCCTAAAAAGAGCACTGTTATTGTCCCCGACACGGGGAAAAAAAAAAATGGAAGTGGATTGCCCCGAGGATCGATCGCTTTTCAACGTTATCTCCATTATCTACAGATCTATAAATTACCACTGTTTAGAAAGAAACCGATAGTTGTTGAATTAAATTAAATTCTGAAACGCCCGAATCGATTAAAAGTTGGGTAAAATTCCAGTACGATAAATGTAGATATTGTGTTTAAAGCATATAAATAGATTTACGACGTAGAAGCGTAATTACACGCTGTGATACTTTATTTTAAGTACAGATTGTATCGCTGATTTCATTTGTATTGAAATTGCTTTTACTAATAGATATTGCTCGTAAAGGGCAATGTCGTTCCATGGGCACGCACGTGATTCTATAAACTATAAACATCTCAGTTGATTGAACGAAGATTATCTTTACACGTCAAATTATACTAACGCCGTTAAAAGCGTCGATCAACATCGTGCGACGCCGTTTTCTTTGCACAATTTTAATTTCTCTTCCGTTTAACCAGCCAGCTTGTCGTAATTCAATAATTCGAGCGTGTTACTCAAACAACTATACGTCCTATTCAAATTCAATATGTCACGATCAACAATTATATCTCTATCCGTCCATATCCCTCCACATTTTCCGCATGATATGGAGGCACGTATGTATTAACGTAGCCTGATTTGTTTCACGGAGCACGAAATCGTCAGATAAGAAACTGGCAGCAACCCTCCGGATAAACGGGGATAGCTTGACGTAAACGTCACTCACTTTCCTAGCGGTGTAATTGCTGGCCGCGTGCTCTCTCTCTCTCTCTCTCTCTCTCTCTCTTTCTCTCTCCAATCAAATTTGTTACATGTGGGTCTATTATATCTGTTTGCGCTATATTTTCCACGTGTCTGACTTGACGCGTACGTCAAAACCGTAGAGAAATAAAGGGGCGGAAATATGGGAACGTTCGATTGTATTTGACGTGTTTGCTAAATAAAATCCTAGTGTACCAAAAGTATAATTTCTAAAAGTGTAATTTTAAACTACCGTGAAAATGGAAGTTCACTAAATTTAGTAAAATTCAGGATCTGTGCAGGATGTAGGAAGATTATTCTTCCTTTGTATGAATGAACATTTATGCGAATTTTTGTACAGGAAAAAACACATACTCGAGGAAAAAAAAAACAAATATCGGCAATAAAATAATTATACCGATGAAAATATCAATTTGTACGACAGAACTATCTACCACAATCTGATCATCACCTCGAATTTTTTTCTCGTTCAGAGTAGATGCTCGTTCTCAACGTTGCGATGTCTTACGAACGTCAAGCATAAAAAAAGAAAAACAAATATCGGCAATAAAATAATTACACCGATGAAAATATCAATTTGCACGACAGAACCACAATCTAATCGTCACCTCGAATTTTTTCTCGTTCAGAGTAGATGCTCGTTCTCAACGTTGCGATGTCTTACGAACGTCAAGCATAGTGCAAAAAAAAAAAAAAAGAAAAAGAGCAGCGACCGTCTGAGTTACAACATAGGGGTACGAAAGGATCGGTCGACGGGGAACAGAAACGCGTGTCCGAATTCCCACGTGACGACATTGCAGAATCTTCGCACGAAGGGGGTCGGGGAATGCGCCCCAACGCATTCGGTCCGTACTGTCACATTTTCCACTCGTATGGATGCAAAATATATATTTGCTCGTCGTTGCGGCAAGTCGTAAGTGGATTGGCCCGACGGATAAAGCAGATTCTTGAAAATTTCCTGCAAATAACCAATCTCCCGCGGAACAATGTATATCCTAACCGTTTGTGTATACCGAATTCTAATCTGTACACAGACGTGTTTTTCCTACAATTAGAGAATAATTCTTCGTGACGCGAGTAAACGTGCCGCGGGCATAATGGAGATTACCCGTCTGAAACCCGTGTTTTAGATGGTGTTTGCTTAGGTTTACTTAAGCGTGCTGCTTGGTTTAACCCTCGGGCAACGAAAATACGTGTCCCGATTTGATTTACGCCGGTGTGTGTTCCTTGTCCGGATCGGAACCGGCGTCTAAATAATTGGTACTGGCGTATTACAAATAAATTCATTAAACAAGTTTTTCATTAAACCACTCCGGTGGTTTTGTACGTTGTTGTGGCTGTCATTGAGCAGAAGTTTGAAAGCTGATTTGACAGCGATTTAATCTCTGAACGGAAATAAATATTAGCGGGCAACAGAGCAGTTGATTTTTTTCACAATTTTTAATCGATTTCTCGACAACCTAACGTAACTCTGCAATTTGCAACACAAACTGAACTATTTTTCTGCTGAATTAAATAGTTAGCAGGCGTAATGATTAACCGAAATCGAGTCGCGATAATCGAAATAATCTTGAAGCTTATGACGAAAGGAGAGATTAGCGAACGTCTACCGAAATACTAATCCATTTGTTATAGAGCGAGCAGTAAAATCTATCCCGGCGAGTGGTTCCAGGCTAGTGTTATTTTAGGTGATGTCTGAGAGAATGGCTCAGAGCACTAGGGAACGGAATAGCTCTAAAGAAAGATAGAAAGAGAGAGAGAGAGAGAAAAATGAAGAGACAGACAGAGAGAGAGAGAGAGAGGACTCATCGTCGTTGCAGGTTGGGCCTGGCCTTAGCGAAGGGGGCGGCGAGGACCCTTGAAGGTAATCTTGGCTCGTTCGCGGAGGGTTGCATTTTGATCCCCGGAGCTTCTGCCGTGGCACGATCTCCGCGTACCTTGCCTCTGCTCACGCATTTACTATAATTAGAACTCCCTAATTAACGAGCAAACGTCGCACGAGCCTTTCGTAATCTCGGGCTTGACCTTCCACCGTCGTTTAGAGGCTCCTTCTTTCTTTTTTTTTTCTGTTTTCCTCTCTCGTCGCTTCATTTTTTAATCCGGTTCCCTTCCTTTCGCCCGCGAGGGAACGAAGATACAGAAAAGCCTCCGTGTGCAGAGGAAGTAGTAGCGATATCTAACCGTTCTTTTTTTCTTTCTTTCGTCTTTTTTGTGCAAGGCGATTCACAGAAATAGAACGGAAATAGAACGTTATGAGGTGCGTGAAGGGATGATTGCTTCGTCGCTGACACGAAGTGGAAATTCAGACGAGCTTCTTATGGAAAATTTCAGCGGACGAATTTGGTTTGCTCGTTAATCGAGGTATAACGAATCTGCGAGCGAATCTCGCGGCAACGTTGTGTTTTAAGAACAAAAATCACGACGTAGATATAGTGTTTGTTCAATACGATAAAAGAAACGAAAGGATCGAGCGTTCTCACAGGATCACGCGACCGTGATTTCGCCTCCCCCTGTTCCAATAGAAAAGACAATTGCAGCTGAAACCCCGGGCGGGTGTGACGTTGGCGACGAGTCGTCTTGAAATAACTTTAAAACGTTGGACAAACACTCGACGCGGCGTGGCAACATATTGAACAGAAATTAAAAAATAAGCTTCGTAAGCTACCATTCATATAGATCTGACCTCCTGCAAAGAGGGTGGCTTTCTCTCTGCATTAAAGGGTCTGAGAAACCAGATCGACTGGAACACAGGGTAAATTTCCAACCGCTATTTGATTAAGCACGTACCTTTCGAGCTCCTTTTGTATTTGTCCTCGCGAGCGAAAACGAACAGATTCGATTCAATTTCTATGATTTTACATCTTTATATAAAAAGCGTAAAAACTATTGTAATTAAAATAAAACTTGTCCTCTAACCTAATGTCCACGTTCAAAATGTAATATCTAAATCGATGAATATTTCGTAATCTTTCGTACAAATATGGTATGGTGTTTTATTTAAATTTCGCAGAGTTATAGAATTATCTGTAAATTTCGAAGATCAAAGTTACACGTGTCCCTGGCTGAGATTTCTATTCACAAATAATAACGGCCCATTATTTTTCTTCGCGCAGGTTTCGTTCGTAGAATGCTAAACGTCAAGAAAAATCACTCGCATCATTCGTTTAATACAGCCTATTTCTGGGCTGTCCTTTATACCGTCGTTTGCGGCTTTGTCTTGACAGTACGTAGGTGAATAAAGTCAAGGGAGCAAAAATGGGACCGAAAGGAACGATAAAGCTTGACGGGTGGTGGCAGTGTGCACCGCGCTGATAAATATAACGTAACAAGTTCACTGGAATAACAACTTCATCCCGGAGGGATCAATGAGACTTTGCTGCGACTTTTACGCGGAATTTCCTTCCGAGTAAACGTATGCGCGCAGGAATTGGCAAGATAGCAAATCGATCATTGTTTCTGTTGCCATTTATTCGTCAAACACGCTCAATGATCGCAGCATCCGACGTTTACACCAGGCTTGAGATAGTTATGGAAAATTCATATTTTTGCAGATTTTATAATATATAAAAAGCGAAATTTTATTCATACAGAATCATTTCCAATTTCTACTTCTACTTACCATTTTTTTTTTCTTCTTACTACGCGAACAGGTATATCTGTCAACCTACTGTTGATAAAATTCTCCACTTTTCAAACTTGTCGAATCTTCCCTAAGATATTCGTAAACTGAAAATTACTCGAGCGGCGGACAGTTTATTACACTCGTCGAAAATTGATTACTTTCGATGCAGCCACGGCACGGTTCTGTGAATTTGCAACGACGAAGAGAATCTTCCATTTCGTTAACGGGAGAGAACCCGACGAAGGCAGCCGTAAAAAGTAAATTAAATAAGAATTAAATACAAATAAAACCGTTCAGCCAAGTAATTGGCTGGTTACCTCGCTCGTTACCCACCACGGTCTCGGATCGCTCCACCCTTATTCTTGCCACTTTCTCTACGCTACCCTAACCGAGAAAGAAAAAGGAATCCACGTCGATAGACATTCGACGTGATGTAATCTACAGGGGGAATTATTTGATTCGTCGTGGACGAATAATGTTTACTCAAGGGTGCAAGCTACGCTTACTCAACAGAAAGATATTTATAGGTATCTCTCCTCTCGCGAAATTTATAAGATTCATCTAAATCAAGTCAATCAATCTATTCCATCATCTGCTTTCAAACAATTATTTTAAACAATTCATCACCGACGTAACAATATTATTAAACAGACTACAAACCTTTCCACCCTACTTGAAATACTTGTACCCAAAACCTCACAGTGGATCACCGATTCTAGTGGACGAAATCTCTTCGCCAGTACTGGCGAGAGACAATAATCTCGCGGTTCGTTTCCCTTCAATTCGCCTGCCAATGTCGTTAAAAAGATAACGGGGTCGAGCGGGGTTGGATGGTGGCAGGACCAAATAAAGAAAGAGGAGAGAGAAAAAAAAAGAAAACAGAGAGGAAGGTTGCACGGGGGTCGAGGAGGAGTTCTCGTGACGAGGCGGTCGTCGCGACAATCATGGCCGGATTAGGCGTATGTATAAGGACAGAGGCCGGAGGGTAGTGGCTGCCTGCTGGAAGAGGGTGCCAGAGGGGTTGAACAGGTCAAACGCGGGGGCCAAGATAGAACGTCCGTGCACGGGGCGAAACATAAATGATATTCCATGAGGAGCATATGCGTACAGAGATGACTCCACCTCCGCGACGTTATGCGGCGAGGGTGGGCCACCACTCCCCCCTTGGCAGCAGGGTTTATTACAAACAAGGATTACCCGGGTAATGGGACATTCTGTCCCTTTGGTTGCCCGACAGTGAGAACGCACCGTGCACTGACTCACGCTCTCGCTTCTTGTCACAGCGACGTCTAAAGGGGCGAAACTCGAGCCAGCGAACAGATCGCTGCCAAGATTTCCGAGATACTGCGTATCACGATGTCGCGAGACATCTAGCGAACAAATTTGTCGACAAGGTTTGGAAGAGATACCATCGGGCTTGGGGGTGTTTTGATTAACACTAGAACCAGAGTATAAAAATCGAGTCAAAGAAATTAGAATGCAAGGAATAGGAAAAGGTTTGTAATACGATAATTGATATGTTTTACAAAAATCATTCCAATCTCTGTTTTCGGCTACTTTGGTGGTTCTAGCGTTAAGAGAGTGGTTATCAACGACATAAAAGTTTTAGAGCATTTCTCTGACTTCGTTGTTAGAATTGCTATTACACGTGCCATGTATTAATAAATAATTTCAAGAGAAGAAAACATGAAACTGTCTTTGACATTTCAGTGAATCCAAGAAGAAACAGGAGGATCAACGTTAGAAATCCTTGTTCACGATAACTCAAAGAACAACACGATTCCAAGTTGTCTACCAAATTTTGCAATTCTTTATTGCACCATTGCAGTTAACAAAAATAGCGTATATAAAATAAGTAGCATCGAAATGGCAAATGCGAAAATTAAATGTTACATTATGCGATTGTTTCTCGAGATTTTTACTCCCCACTGGTAAAATTGTACAGAGTCAACTATTAAACGAAGCACTTTGCTAATCGAGCACGAACGAGTGTAGATTCACCAGAGGGAATTGCACTGGAATATGAAAGCGTATTCATAAACATACAGAAGCGACTGACAGCGCTGACCGATGATAATCATAAAATTGTTGATTTAATTTCCTCAAATACGACTGTTAGCACAGCTCTGCCTGCCAGGTTTTCATCTCAAACACCGTGCCGGATCCGTGTTTAAATACTGTTTAAATATTGTAAAAAGTTCCGTCGATTTTGCGACTGTATCCGGGATTAGATTGAACCGAATGAGGTCCGGAGATATTTAATTTCACGCTACTCGGATGGACCCGTCTCTCTGGCACCGGGCCGCGATAACACTCCGCTCTCTTTAGAAGCAACGAAATCGGATCTTTTCTCACCGGAATGTCCGGCGTCTTGTGAACCTTAATCAACCGAAAACCAACACCAAAATGACGTTTAAATTAATTCAAGTCTCGCCGAGGAAGATGGAAAGGAGAAGGAAAGACATTTGTCAAAATGGACGCTGTTTTACCTCAATTTGATTTTTTAAAACACGCCACGTTCTCTGTCCTAAAGTTTCTGGCTGCACCGGCACGTAGCTTTTCGGCACCAGTGTGTCTCTGCTGTGAACGTATACAGTCGTAAGAGCCAGATCTAGAGAGTCCTCTGGTACCTGCAATGCTCGTAAAATTTAACAGAGAATTCTGTAATTTGGAATTCGTAAGATCATGCATCTTTAAAATTAACTGTACTAACGTGTTACGTGTCGTTAAAATTAAAATTAAAATTGAAATTCGAAAATAATAACGGAGGTTTTTCTTTTAGGTTATAACGTGTATATAGTTTCACCTGTGATCTCTGAAGTCTATTATCTCTGCGTATACTGTTTAGCGTGTGATGTGCGAAGAGACGTTCGTGGGCCTTCAACTTGGCACTCCAGTCTCTATCCTTCGGCGAAACTTTACTACCTAGTACAGGTTGTTGTAGCCACACTCCTTCGCGCACTACATCCGGCAGAGGGTAGGGATTTCTAATAAAAGTCACCTCCGCCATCGCTACACCGCCTGTAACTATAAACGTCGCCAAGTTTGTAGCGAAATACACAAGATATAAAAGAAACTTTTACTTATTGTACGTCGCGTGTTACATCGTGAAATTAGTTAGAGTAGACACTTTGAAATAATATGTAAAACGAATTGAGTTTGCACGATTAGAGTGAACTATGCTATGAAACTAAGGTGGTGTAATTGAGGAAAGGTAAGTTTCCTCCGCGAACGTATTTACAAAACTTTCTAATCTTCAAATTTTTCGAATTATCCAATTTCCAATTTTGTTTAATTTACAATAATTTGAACTTGCTTGTCGCAAACGTAGACATCAGCATCCTTAACGCTGCATTTCGTAGAAAAAGATTTTACAAGCGTTTGGAATACAATCGCGAGCTGTTGCAGCAACTCATTCGGAAAGCATGGCGTATCCTCACAGAACGGAAGGAAGAACTTAAATATTCAGTGGATCGTGTTCGCGGGTTCACAAACAGCTGACTGGTTGAATATAAACGAAGACAGAAATGCGGTCGTGTATGAATGGCGGCATTCGTGGAAAATCTCGGTTAAATTTCACAATAAGCTCTTTCACGGCTCCTGAACGTGAAAGAGCTTGTAAGCGACTTTGGGGAGTCTTACGAGACGCCCTTGGAAAGCAGCCTGAGCGACTGTGAAGGCGAGAATGAACGAAAGAACGGAATGAAACGGCCTCGATAAGTGGACACCCTACGGAGAATGACGGAATGCAGACCGCCGTGCATGAATTAAAGCCGCCCGTTTATCAATGGATCTGGATCGGAATCGAAATTCCACGGAGTAAAATGTTTCGAGGATGGCTGATCTGACCTGACAGCAGATCTTTTCGAAACCGGATGCTAATCCTTGAGCGTTAATACGCCGGAGCGTGAAAGAAGACTTCGAAAATGTGGAGATTTACCATTTGTCGTAAATTATCTTTATCGTATTTCAAGAAAAGTAAACGGACAATACGGAGACCATAAATTATCTTTGTCATATTTCAAGGATTAAAAAAAAAACGCAAAGACTCTAAATCTGAAGACGCAAAAAATTCGAGAACTGAAAGATCAAAGAATTTGAAAATAAAAGGATCCAACGGTTTAACCCTTTTTGCACTTCTTTGATTGTCGAGTGTGACTCAACATCAGTTAAATTGCCAAGAGAGAAAAAAGAAATAATAATTTGGAATGTAAAGGGTTAAAAATCTTTAAATCAGTGCATTCCACATTTCGTTGCAATGGAAATAAAATCTGAACGAAATTTCGTACGACGTATAATGTCCGAAATATCCACCGAATTTTCCACGTTGAAACACATCCAAGTACTCGCGCGAGTCAGGATATGAAAATTTTAATTTTTGTAAAACGAGATTTAACGGAAAAATTATCGGCGAGTACGTGGGACGATGATCCAGTCGACACCTGCGATCGGAAAGGCTCGAAAGAAGCCGGCGTTTCGTGGCAGTGTGAGATCTGGCTGGCCGCATTTAACGTGTTTTGCTCAGGAGGTGGTCGGCCATGGCCAACGTCGACATCCGATATTAAACCCGCAGTAATTTATGTTAGCACGAGCGTGCATAATGCTGTTTGTACAAAGCGGCACTGCCACGTGTCGACTCGTGCCACCGCTACCTATCACTTCTACCTCCCTTAATTCTTGCTAGTACACAGACAACGCGCGCGCGTCGGACGCGTTATGCGATTTTAAATGTTCTCCAACCATCCGCCAAAGACGCGGACACATTGTGTTTCAACGTTCTTTGTGATTTATCGCGTCAGCATGAAATTTGGGAACTCGCATGTTACAGTATTCCGCTATTACCGCTGTATTTAACACTGAAAAACGATCTGCAATTTGTACTTATACTGGGAATATATACTATGAATATTTATATTTTTATGTTACAAATGTTGCTCAAAATATTCGGACATGAAAATTCAGAGGCTAATTTAACACTAGAATTATTAAAATGGTCAAAATGACCAATAATCTTTGTCAGATATTTTATTTATTATTGTTGGATGTAGATACAAGACAGTATATTTTTAGAGACTCGAATGATTCTTTGTAAAATACACAAATAAACGCCTGTCTACTCTATTGCATTATAAAGATTTTCTGCTTCTTTTACTTCAATGAAATTTATACTTCTTTTACTCTGATGGAATTTACTTATTTATTTGTCGGTAGTTTCAGCGTTTCTACCAGAACATAATCGTACATTAGACAAATTTTCACAAATTCCATGCAATCTTGCATCGGGTAAGAAGAAAACTTAAAACTCGGTCAAAGTCGAACTCTTTCGATATCTTTTTTCCCTTGCAAAAAAAA